CATTTGATGCAGTCCTTCACAACCGACTGCTCAAACGCCTTCGAGAACAAGGCTGGCCACGATCCCTGTGCCGGTTTATTCAGACATTTCTTTGCCAACGAAAGGTTCAGGTCAAATATCGCGGTGGAATCACAGAAGAGAAGATACTGGAATGTGGAGTACCTCAGGGCTCGCAACTATCGCCACTTCTTTTCATGCTCTACATCGTTGTGCTTTTTGAGGATCATGGTCTAACTAGTAGGTTTGGTTATGCTGACGATGTAGCTATTGTCAGAATTGGAAACACCGCGGCGGATGCTATCTCCGCAGCTCAAGACGACCTCGACAGCCGTATCTTTCTCGCAAGAGAACACAGGATCGATTTTGAGCCAGCAAAATCAGAACTTCTAGTGACCGGAGGAGGGCCTAGAAAGGAAATCAACGCGGCAGATCTTTCCATCTTGGTGAAAGATCGCCGGATCGAACCGTCACCTTATATCCGGTGGCTAGGAATCTGGCTTGATACCCAGCTAAATTTCAAGCAACATGTATAGGAATGGACTGGAAAAGCTAATCGTCTAGTCCATTTCTTACGACATATAAACGGAGTTCAACGTGGTGCAGCACCCGGACCTCTGATTCATTCGGTACATGTATGCGTCCTGAGTACAGCTCTATACGGGGCAGAAGCGTGGTGGCTAGGTCTCACTCGAATAACCACACTGCGAGATAAAGAAGTCGGCACTGGAGTAGGTTTGCACATATCTCTATTGGAAAAAACGATAATGAAAGCTATTAGAGTAGCACTCCCAGCGTGGCGTACCACTCCCAATGTTGCTCTTCATCGTGAAGCGGGAATACCCCCGGCATCGATAATTCTTCAGCAAAAGATGCTGCGGTCTGCAGCTCGTATGCGAAGAATGGATGCCTGGCACCCTCTAGCCATTCGGGCGGCTGAGGATCCGAAAGAGACATTAAGGCGCTTAGGTCTTAGATCGGGACAAAGAAATCGTTTGTTTAGACAACCAGAACGGTACATGACACGCCTACAAATGAGTGTGCGTCGAGTTCCGACAGCCGAAGGCCCCGGAAAGCTATACTTCCCACGTGGCACTCCAGCATCGATTCCATGTAGTCGAGAAAATGAGGCTAGGTCTGGAAGCATAAAGCGGTGGTTAGCTTCCCGCCCAGCTAACACAGTCTTCGCTTTCTCTGATGGATCATCATCGGGTCCCGGAAAATCAGCTTGGGGGTATGTAGTATACCATGGAGGCAAGCTAGTTGGGAGTGGCTCCGGTCCACTTCCCGGAGCAGAGGTATTCGATGCAGAAGTTGTAGGTGCCATGAAAGCCTTGAAGGCTGCAACAGAGGTAGGAAAAGACTTACTGATCTGCATTCTTCTTGACAACCAAGCGGCCACCCAGGCGCTCGAAAGAGGAAGATCTAACTCCTCGCAGTCGGTGGTGGACAAGTTTTCATCGCTGAGACACAATAAGCGTGTGGAAATACGCTGGATACCCGGGCATGTGGGGATTCAAGGCAATGAAGAGGCCGATAAGCTGGCCAAATCAGCCTTGGGAGCTCCTAATAACCGGTCACTAACCTCAGCTGCGCCCAGTGGAGAAGATCAAGATCTAATCTTTGTGGCATTTAGGAGGTGGGTTAAACAGCGCAGTCAAGAGCTCGTGGAAGAGTGGTGGCAGAAGTATCGACCGAAACGATACAAAGATCCGGACCTATTCATGCGTTGCAAAAGACCGCCGGAACAAGCTTTACCAAGATGGGCGTACCATCGTCTTATTGTGGCAAGAACAGGCCACGGGGACTATGCCGACTACCATCGACGTTTCAACCCCGAACATGAAGATCTGAAATGCGTTTGCGGCCGAGAGAAAAGGCCCTGGCATTTTTCAGAGTGCCGACCTGCTTTGCTACGTTGGAGAATCTATGAGAAAATGGCCCCACCTGGGGCCAGGGAAATGATAGGGGAGAAGGGATGGCAGAAGTTCATTCAATTCTTAACTACAAGCAGATGTTACAGTCTGCCGAAGAATGAACAGGGTGGGAGGTGACCACGCTGAGATTGTTTCTGACCCGAGAGGAGATGGGTGTGGAAGATAGGGATGCGGCGCAGGGCACCGTAACTCAGACATATGTTGTTCTTTTTTTTTTTGTTGCTTTTGGCTCCACTGCCGGTCATGTAGGTAGCAATGAGCTTTCAGAGCCCATCTACCCGTGTCACGTCTAAATAGATGTTAGGTTCTTCCTGTCACGTAAAAGATTTCAAATTCAAATTCAAATATACAATCATATAAGCCACCACTCTTCAATGTGCTCTAGAGGAGTCTTTCCACCTAGAATTTCTGTATTTGCTCCGGGGCAGATGCAGCAAGCACTGGCTGGAACCATTCCCTCATTCACTGCGCCGTCTTGATAGCTCAAAATTTTTGGTAATTTGTACCTCTGTCTTTGCTCCCATTTCCGATATTCCATTGGATATCTTTTCCGGCTGACGGTACCAATCTCTTTGCCTTTTTCCTATTCAGACTCGGCTAATGAGAGTTTCTGGTGGCTAGAGACAGTTCTAGCCCCTGGATGCATGTAATTCATTTGGAGACATTTGGTGTTTCATCGACTCTGTGATGGCTGTACAAGCTCAGCAGAGTCAAATTTAACCACGAAGCGATCATGTATTCGTTATAGCCATATGGTTGCCGGGGTCCATCTAGTTTCCTACAGTAGATCTAGCCGTAAATTAGATCTATACATGAGATATACGCCTCTAGGAGCGCCATAGATCGGTCCTTGGACCTGCTTTCAGGGCCGAAATTATTTTTCTGGTCCATGCCGCGCGTCGACTTGGTAGTCAAGCCCTCTAAGCAATATCAAGTGGAGTTTGCCACCGTAAATCAGGCTGGGCACATTTGGCAGTATTACTCAGTCGTGTTGAATTAAAAGAGCTTTGATCAAACATAATCATTCCTGCACCTTAACATAACGGAGTGTTGGTTATGACTATTGTTAGCTTCAAAGTAAAAAGATTAAGGCGTTTGGACATCTTATTTACCCTGTATGAGTAGTTTCATTCTCGCGTGTAGATAAGCCTAGCAGTGGTACGTTGGTACAAGTTAGGTAGCAGCATTCCCTAAGAATGCTGAGACTGTAGTAACAATATACGGTCGTTTAACAATATAATTTATCGAATCTACTTCCAGCCACACTATTCTATCCATCTAAAGGAATAGTGGTCCAACAAGTTACTTAATATCATCAGCCACAAGACGATAGCATTAGCAGGCTCTACTCACATTTACTTTAAATATTCAATTGGCCAGGGATTTTATAGGTGAATAAAGTGTTAGAATATGATGCCCAAGAAGATTTGTCGCCACGAAAGCACTGATGACATATTCATTACGAGCCGCTTAATCTCGAACAGGTCATATATGTAAATCACAGGTAGAGCTTTGCTCTTTAGCTTTATTACCTTTTAAACCTTCTACTCTTGCTTGCCATAATTTACGTGTGACAACAGAGAGGATGGCAATCTATCAAAGACTATTCCTTTCATGGGTAAGCAGTAGGGTATAATTAATTTGTTTTATTTTCGACGCAGTCTATGTGACGATAGACTATTAGGGTAGTGCCTGATCTTGGTAAGATAGTCAGTGAGTGTGGATGCAAGGGTCTAGAAAGGTAAAGGTGGTCTGGTAGTAAGCAAGTAGTGACCACATCGCATCCCGTGATGAAGCGCTAGTGGTAATATGCTGTGTATAGTCTGGTAGGCGTGGGAGTGTTCTATCTTCACGCAACGTCTTCTAACATTTTGTACACACATTGTACCACTTCACATTTCTCTTCCTTACGGAAGACCACTTCAGTGCTGTCCTATAATCATACTCAATATCCCTTCGTGCCCTAAGGAACGTTAGTAGTGAGCTCCCTGAGAATTCCAGGGTAGCAGATGCGATTGCTCGGGAGCACTACGGTTCCCTTCATGAATAGGAGTCGTTCTATATATTTCCATTTATATGAATGTATTGAAGCTCAGTAATGGTCGTATTAAATTGGAAACCGTTATCTTTGTCCGGTTATGGGCTTCTTTTCAGTCTTGACTTCAGCTGTTGACTGCAATCCCCAAGTTTTGGGCCAATTCCGAATCCTTTGCTGTGTTCAGTGCCTAATATGTAGCTATAGAGACATCGTTATGCTTTCTGATAGTCGCTGAGCTGGTTATTTAAGGCTACTAGCTATTGCCACGACTCGCAAGGCAATAACGATGAGCAAGATGTAATTTAGTATAGAGAGGAGTAATAGTTCCGATTTATTCTGTAGCTTAGAAATATAACTGATTTACTTTTGAGCTTGCTTGAGTATCTATCATCATCAACTGATCCCATTACAAGAGTCAATTTTTGTCTTCATGTCCCAAAGCGTATTCTAGGTGCACTAGTAACTCAAATATATTCACAAGTAGACTGTGAGTAGGTTAGGAACAAGGACCTTATCCTTTTTGCGACTATTGGCCAATCTCACTTTATATTAGGTAAATTTTAATAATTCTCCACGATGCATGAATCAAAGGCGAGGGAGAGTAAGTGACAGGGCAGGATAAAGTTCTTGAATATATTTAGGTTTACCATCCTCCGTAACTGGGAATTCGAATATATTCGTACCTACATAAATGAAATTTTATGTGACAGAATCAATTGTCCGATGCCATATGTATGGCAAATAAATTGTGGTGTTTAGCGAAGTGTACACCATTTTTCGCTCTGAATATAGAAGAGATCAGTGCATCTTAAAAGAGCACATGCATGGAGGCATAGGATAATTCAATCGCCGAGTCATGTGAGCGGCGAGTAAATAATCATTGCTGAAGACTAAATCAGAAATTAGCCTTGGTACAGGAGATTAGATCCAAGTCATCTTTATTTAAATAATCGGCTAAGTAAAGATAATTCTAGTAGGATGCAGAAAGATTTGTGGTAAAGTAGTTCTTTAATTAAGGCTTGTAAAGACTACCTCAATCCTAGTATATTTTTTTCCATCGTCTTAACCCTATCTCTTACACCAGGCGAGAAGTGTTTTCTCAACAATTCGCCTTCCCATATTGTGGTAGCGAAAGGATTACTAGCCTCTGCTTCGCCACATAATGCGTTGAATACCCCATCCCCTCTCCTGTCCTCAGTGTTCCAAAGGGGCGCAATTTTTTTCTGTTGAATTTTAGTTAGCTTTTCCATGAAGCTAATCAAGGCAATGCATGAGTTCTCCGGTATATGCAGAGAAGATGTCAAGAGTTGCTTGGTGAAGGCTGCTATTCGAAGCGGAGGTACAGCCCGAGCCGCTAGCGTTGGAGTAAGTACAGAAGAAATAGATCGGAGGAGTAGAACCATTGTAGTTTGAATATTTATTTTGTTATTGACGGTCGTTGAGGGCGACATGGCATCGCTTGGGTCACTGAGATGCAATGATTTGGTGCTAAGCTCGATGTTGGGGTTTAAGGAAAGGGCAGTGAGCGTTCTATAGAGGTGGTTGACAAAGAAACTTAAATCAAGACACAGTGATGTTTGAGCCTTGGCAGCATCTTGCCCTTCAAGGAGTGTCAATGCTGTCACTATACATAGAAGGGCTTCCCGAGTGTGATTTTTCACTGGTTCTTCGGCTTTTTCTTCCGTTTCAAAATGTGATTGAGTGTCTGATAGGCGTATTAGGTCTTTCAATGCCTCGAGTATGTCTCCAAAAAATTCTTGATTGATAAGGTGAGCATGGCTGGCAAGTCCTTCGAGCACAGCTCCCATGAGATTTGGGGATCGTGTTTTTAGGATTTGAAAATATGTCACAAAAACTTTTTTAAGAATCTCTGCTTGGTGATGATCTCTCTCTTCATGGCTGACGATAGCTTCTGAAACTTTCATTTCTTTTTCGACAGCCTCTCGTTCTTTCATTAGCTTTCTCTCCTTCTTGGTTCGAAATACTCTCTTCTCTTTTAATTTCTTCCCATAGGTCTTGTCCTTTTCCTCTCGATCAATGGAATTAGTCGAGGCTTTACCAGAAAATTCGGTAAGGAGTCTTAAATGCAGAAAAGTATTGAGGACACTCTCGTCAATATGAAATCCTCTGCCTTTCATCATCTTTGTCAGAAGAATTACTGCATCTAGGGAAGCATTCCCATCTTCATCCTCACGGAATAAGGTTTCAATTGTTTGCCTACACTTTATAAAATCCGCATCAATTTTTCGTGAACTCAAAACTTTAACTATAATTTTCAAAAGCTCTCCCCGAAAATTAAAGTGAGGAACTGCAATCAGTAAGGCACAAGCACACGATATGGCGACCGAGCAGAGACTTGGGTTTTCTCCCCCAGTTTTACCGCCTCCACCATTGTGAGCTAATTTTGAGAGGTCCTGAATGTAGCGATAGTAGCCTCCAACTAGCCCTTGTTCATATGCTCGAAGTCTCTTAACTTCTTTGCCCACCTTGGTTTTCATGTCTTCTTCAGATAACTGTCGGATCCGATATCCAGGTATTAAATCCTTGTAAATTTTTAGTTGGGTCATTAGGGCGTATTTTTTAATAGTGATATTGGGTGATTTTGCGAATTGCGCCAATGTTTTGAGAGCTCCAACGTGCTCCTCTGGATCATTTTCTCTGAGCAGGATGGCAATTTTGGCAAGCTCCTCTTGGGCATCTATAATCTGTTGTTTGTAGGAGACTACAGGCTTGTCTGGAGTATCATCAGATTTCAAAGTTGTTTCGTTGACCCCCGACAATTCTATTTCACTTTCGGATTCATCTTCCTCGTCAAGGTCTGGTGCAGGTTGAATAACGCCATCGCTATTTTTAGTTGGGAGCCTTGTATTTTCGTTTCCTTTTTTTCTTTTCCGTGGTTTTATCTCATAATCTTGCTCGACATCCCATTTACTAGACTGCGTTGATGCGGTTTTTTGACGAGACGTAGCACGCGAGGTCTCAGTGAAATTTCCCGCATCGCGCGAATTGTTAAACTTACGCTTTTTAATCGTGGGTAATCTGGCCATTGAGAGAATATTAAATTGATAGAGGTGAATTGATGGGTGTATTGGCCTGGATGAATTTCTGGAGGCGGCCGCTTGCGATAGTGATAGCATTAGATCTTATCGTAATCTAGTGAAGGGATTGAAATTTTCATCAACCCACCACAACAATCATGAGGCCGCTTACTGAAGAAGAAACACAAACACTGTTTAAAAAGCTAGCAAATTACACAGGAAACTCGTTAAAAAACCTTATAGCACCCATCGATAATGGGCCAAATTCAGATCGCTATGTTTTCCGGCTGCATGAATCCCGTTGCTACTATGTTCGACTTTCCCTAGCAAATCTAGCCACTTCAGTTCCAAGAGATAATCTTCTCTCACTGGGAACCTGTTTAGGTCTGTACTTCGCGGAAGATTAAAAATGATTCTAACGCAACAAAAGGCAAGTTCACCAAGACGGGAAAGTTTCGTTTGCATATTACCGCCCTGCAAGTTCTCACCGAACATGCACGATACAAAATATGGATTAAATCCAACGGGGAAATGCCGTTTCTATACGGAGGTCATATCTTAAAGGCTCACGTAGGAAGATGGTCAGAAGACTGCCCAGAACATCAGGGTGTGGTTGTATACAGCATGAATGATACACCACTCGGTTTTGGGGTTACTGCGAGAGGGACACAGGAGGCAAGGCGACTTGATCCAACAGCAATCGTTTGTTTTCGCCAGGCAGACTGTGGAGAATATCTAAGGGATGAAGACAATCTATTTGCTACGAATTAAAATTGGGTGCCGGACTGTAGGCTTGAGGAAAATGATTGGAATTATTTGAATGCTATGTAGCATTAGTTTTTCAGCGACCGGGATTAGCTTGTTCCTCATCGGGCTAGCACCTCCGTTTTTTTTCCCGTTTTTATTTAGGAGTTCTGATTGGATATTTAAAATTGTAATGTCAGGAATTGAATCAATAATTGATCAATAAACTGTGCCACAAGTATTGTATAAATCTTTATATATATTAGAGTTTTCAGGAGTCTGGACCCAATCAATACTTAAGGTGCGCATTTAGTAACTGTAATCCAGCCTATGTTGCTCCGTAGAGGTCCCTGGCAAAAGTTTTTGTCCAACAATCAGCCTACCAGCAGATGTAAATTCAACAACACCACTTGATACACATCTATATCAACACAAAAACAGATCGTAATTTCCCAGGCTTCGATGCCACCATCGGCAAGCCCTAGATGTCTTCTTTGCTCATTTAAAAGGCCAAGAATCTTGGTTATTCAGAGATTGGGGTTGCCATGTTCTCCGATAAGCACTAAGACAACAAGACCGACGCGCATGATATTGCAAGACTCCAGAAAAGTTGCACGAGATGCCACACCAGTCAGAAAAAAGATTAGACAAAATGGACCATTTGGTGGCATGAACCAAACAGTAGCAAATATTCGAGGTCTCCCTAAATCGGTGGGAAGCCATGACTCCGCTAATTCAAAGAGAGATAATAGGGGTTCAACTACCACAAGACAGGGCAGACTTAGATCTTCACGAGGAGAGAGGGGATTCAAGGCTCTGAAGATGCAAAGACCGCTGGCGTCGCTATCCTACGAGCAGAGACTTAGAATTAAAAGCAAGACGCAAAACATAGATTCTTTTGAGATGTTTCCTCTTTTAGAAGAAGTTTCCAAGTCAATATATTCGCAAGCCCTCCAAGGAATGGTTGATGTGAAGCCGACCCCGGTACAAAGAGTATCAATTCCTGCATTGATTGGTCAGAAAAAAAAGCGATGCGATGGCACCGATTCAGGTCCTGATGCGTACCTAATTGCAGCAGAGACTGGATCTGGAAAGACCCTCTCCTACTTGATTCCGACCATAAATGCTCTCAAACTAGCAGAAAAAGAAGATAGCGAGGTGCAGGAGTACGAGAAACTGCGAGCTGAGGAGAGTAAGCGACTGAGCGAATCTGCTTTCTTTTCACCTCCAATTACCAATAGCTCACATCCAACCACTGGACGACCCAAAGCTATCATACTTGTTCCTAGTCAAGAACTAGTCTCTCAGGTCGGAGCTGTCGTCAAGTCGTTGGGGCATACCGTCAAATTTAGATCGGCCTTAGTATCGTCTGCTCTGACTGGAACAGTTATTCGGAATCGGATTTTCTCCACAAAAGGAATTGATGTAGTGGTTTCTACTCCTCACCTGCTGGCATCGATAGCAGAGGCTGAACCTAATATTCTCTCGCGAGTTACACATCTGATAATTGATGAAGCAGATTCTCTATTGGATCGTAGTTTTGCTCCTATAACGTCCACACTAATTGATCGAGCTACTCCGTCTTTGAAGCAGATAATCATGTGCTCTGCTACAATTCCCTTGACCTTAGACAGCTATCTACGGACGAGATTTCCAAATCTTCAGCGATTAGTTACTCCAAATCTCCATGCCATTCCTCGACGTGTCCAGCTCGCGGTGGTAAATGTGGAACAATCTCCATACCAGGGAAACAAAAATCTAGCCTGTGCAGACACAATCTGGTCAATAGGTAGAGTAGCTGCTGATAAAGATGATTCGTCACAGGGATCTTCTGAGGCCATTAGTGTAAAGCGTATCATGGTATTTGTCAATGAACGCGAAAAAACACTAGAGGTCAGTGATTACTTGGTATCAAAAGGTATCGATGCCATTGCAATGAATCGAGATACATCAGATGAAAGGAAGTCGGAGATCCTATGTTCATTCACGCAAGCGAAGTCACACGAAGCACCTATAGATCAGACTCCAGAGCCATCATATAATGATCAGCCAAACTTTATCCCTATCGGAATGAAAGCACCTAGTGCAAAGAAGACTTTGCGCAATGTGAAGGTCCTAGTCACTACAGATCTGGGCTCAAGAGGTATTGATACCTTGGCTGTCCGGAATGTGATCTTATACGACGTACCCCATTCTACGATAGATTTTATACACCGGCTTGGTCGAACTGGCCGTATGGGAAGAAGAGGCAAAGGATACGTTTTGGTGGGTAAAGATGACAGGAGGGACGTTGTTGCCGAGGTCAGGGAAGGCATGTTCCTAGGAAAATCTTTGATTTAGAAAATGATACAACATTGCAGTGTAGAATATTGTATATTTATTCGTAGGAGCTAAGTATCGACTTGTTGGAATAAAAAATTCTATTCATCAACCGACTGGACACGATTGTTACGTGCCGTTTGCTTTACGAGGAAGACACGTCACTCATCTCTCACTGGACCTAGTTAGTGCCAGTGCGAAAAAATAAACTCAAGTGACATGAATCTAGACCAAATAGAATGATGAGCACGGAGATAGGCATCAAAAATTACTCTTCCTTAATCCTCAAGCTTTTCCATGTATCAAGTTAATGAAAGCATCTATTAAGTTACTAGTCATCATTGGATTATAGACAACTTAATTTCCTTTTGCTACCCTAACATCAGCGAATTTTACTTAATCACTCTACCTTGGTAATTCTTTATCTAGAATCCTCTTGAATTTGCACGGCCTAACTCAATAACTAGACGGTGAGATTTTTTGTAATGGAAGTTTTGAAGAGAAGATTAAGCTGTTAGATACTTGTGTTTATTATCACCTGGTGAAGCGAGTTGGGAGATTAAAGGGTCTGAAAACTAGAGTAGAGAGTTGTTCATTAAACCCACATAGTATCAGAGCGCTATTTCAACTTATTTGTTAAAATATGATTCCTCTGGACGGGTAATACAGTAGTACTGTTACTGGAATATTTGGAAGTAGATTTGATAGAGTATAGGGTTAAATCGTTGCGTGTGTCTTCGTCTCTACGTCTACGCGCTTAATAGAAGTATCGCGACCTCGCACCCTCTAATCTATCGCTCCTAGTCTCATCCACACGCTAATATGAAACTACTAATACAGGGTATATAAAATCAACAGACGCCTTACCCTTTTTAACTCCTAGGCAACCAATAACCACAACCCTAACTCCATTATGTTAAATTGTAGGGATGATTATGTTTGACCAACCCTTCTTATAATTTAACATTATTACTAAATGTAAGTGAAGGATACAATTCACTTTTTGATGCTAGATAATTGGGAGACTGGTCAATATATGAACCGTCATGAATGTGTCTAGTAATACTAGAGCCTTGTTACGTTCCGTATAAATGCGACTCTTCATTGCCAAGTAGCGCCAATTTCAACCAGGTTTCGGCCTGAATAGTCTGACATTTCTATGTTTATCATTTTGTATCCCACTATTCAGTGTTGTAAACCTCTATATTGGCACTCATGGTAAGATGAAGAGAATGAAACAGTATCAGGCGCAATTTCACTAGGCGCAAGACTCGAGGCGTAGGAGAGGGTGTAGCGTACGATGTACTGAGGGAGGGCGCCTCGTGGAAACGCGGACGGCTTTCTGGAGAAGTAGTAAAGGGGAACGCGGGGTGTGGTTCTAGAGAGAGGGGCTGGAGGTAACGGTAGGTCACTATGGTTGGCAGAGGACGAGAGTGAGATGTGATTAGAATAATGTAACTATTCCTAATTACAGAAAACAAAGCATGGAAGACTCAATCTCGGAAATGAAAACTACTTAATTAACCTCGCTAGGCAATAAAGTCCAGTGGAATGTTTAAATGGCACCGGTCATGTTCGTTTGTTTTAATTTTCAAGTCCTAGGTTATACCCGCTATCCCCTAAGGGTGAAAGATCGGTGTTTATAGCTAAGATCAAATTTATGACACGCCCAGATTTTTACCACCACGTGAGCCACTACACAAATAGTAGCTAGTTAGATTACAAGCAGGAATACAAAAAACGAAAATCATAACAGAAACTCCCGGCTCCAAAATTGTGAGCTCCAAACTAATACCAGCACTTGTAGTTGGGAAGCAAAGCCCCTCGCCTCGTTCCCCATCCCATCGTGTCATGTTCCATGACAAATTTAATTGGACCTCGTCGGGAGCAGAGATCTAACCTGCAGGTGAGCACCCCTAACATCGGGTTTTCTGTGCAAAGTTTCTGAAGTCTTCAAGGCACTTGAGTCCGAGAATTCGGTGTAAAAAGTCGTCGTGGGGCTCTAGACCTCGTGTTAGACATGTTTCGTGAGAATGTAGTCGACAGTGTATGATTTGTATATGACTAGTCTCCTCCCTACACGCACACTCAATGTGTGCATCTGCATTGTTTAAACGGCGATTATAGGCTGCAAAATTGCCCTGGTCCGTACGGGCTGCAATCAGTTCGCGGAGTAGATGCCTTGATGGAGTCAGCCCTGGCGGCTTGCGCCGTTTCATGAGCAGATCTAACTTTCGATACTGAACAGGGCACGCTTTATCCCACCAATTGCTAAGCTAATATTGTAGCTGTTTATTCAATAACGGCGAAGGTATGCAAACGAGATGGATTTTCATTAATTTTCCGGACTGGGCAACATTCGTAAACCGGAGTGCGCAGTTGCGTCTGCTTCTTTGTTCTACTGTATTCCTGTATTCCTGAGTGACCGGGGATCCACTTGACTGTCACGATAGCTGATGCTGAAAGCATGCGAAACTATCGTACCTCTTCGAGGCTGGTTGAAAAGATGCCTGTCTCAAATGCTTTTACAGCATGCTGACTGTCCAGAAACAAATTCACTCGCCGTATCGCCCCCCCCCCCCCTGCTGATGTTGCGCTTCATTTATTCTCAGTGCCGGCTCAAGAGCCTTCAGGGCTCCTGTGATTCCTGGGTCTAAGACCTCTCCTCCGTATCGGATACCATTCTCCTTGTGAAGAGTTTTACCGTATCTCCTCGGAATAAAACCCAAAGCTGACCGTCCGTTTCCCTCTGATGAGCCGTCTGAGTAGGCGCAAATTTCTAATGCGGGCACATTGTCTATCCAACGTTTGCTTGTCTCTGTTCCTTCTGACTTAGTTATGGACCTAGTAGATAAAGATGGCGGCGGCAAAGGTGTCGAAGCTTCTGCATCAGGAAGTTGTCCATAAGCTCGCTGTGCACGAGTCCTCTGTTTACCTACGTGATAAAATCCTCGAGGATTCTTCTTGTACTTTTGAATCCAAACTTTTGGGCACATCGCAGCACGAGATCTCAGCAGGTCCCGATCAAATAGTCCGCAGAACTGGAAGTGCAGATCGGAGACCCATCATGATGGCCTTGTCGACCATAGTACAGAGGCTCGCGGTAGCTGGCGTGTATATTATTGTTCTTGTTGGGCATTTTAAGCCTCGCCACTAGACTCCCGCACCAAAAGTCGCGATTGAAACAATTCAACTGTTTGCTGCTCATATCAGCGTTCCTAGTGCGGCCCCTCTGAAAGTAGAATTGAAACGTCATGTATCGAGGTGAACTTCAAGCCAGCAATGATGTTCGTCTTGTTCTATTAGAGTGCGGTTAATGTGGACGCCAACAGCTGTCTCGCGATACCGAGGTGGGAATTGTACAGCCTGTGACTTTTCTGTGTCGAATTAGACGGCATTCTTCTACGTCTAATCCAGTAGGTGATCAATTTCCTTCTGAGCTGCGGCAGCGGACTCAGCAGTGGTGCGGCCAAATCCAAGTGTTACGGTTTGACCGTGGTTTAGCTTAGGTGGATACCTAAGCGGAGTTTGGGGGCGTATTAGGGAGAGTGTTACATATTATCTTGTATCAAGCGACTAAGTTTCACTTGGCCACATTACATTGGAGCTAGGAAGGAATGTGAGACGGCGAAGTAGAATTGCCTAGTGAGAGAGCCAGCTAGATGGCAAAGATGACGACGGGCAGTGGCGGAGCAATATGTCATTCTCACCAATGGAATACGTATTGGATGAGCTAGAAGGATGTACGAATAGTCATTACCCGTAGTTGTGGTAATTCTCTCTTCATATAGTTTAATCTTTCTAAAAGTACACTACAACCAGCTTGCTTTCGTCACACCAAGAATTTTTTTTTGAATCATATTGTATTCAGCTATCTAGCTATGACAATTACATATCCAATTAATTTAATATTGTAGAATGACATCAGCTAACGCCCCAATCACCTCTCAATTCATCTTTATGTCCATTATTTATGTACCAATATCATCTCCTTTGTATGCTGACATACACTTGGATGTTTTCAAAAATTCTAGAAGGGCTTTCTTCCCTCTTTTGGCTCTTAATAAAATCTGTAATGAAAGAGGCTTTATGTAAACAAATGCCAATTCCCTCTGCTTGCAAAATCTGGTACAATGAAGAATTAAATGTTTTGTGGTCTGCTTTTTAGCCTTGCAAAAATTGCAGCTTTGGTCCTTAACCTTCCCAATTCTACTTAGGTAAGCTCTAGTATTTCCAATCCCAGTTCTTGCCTGGAAAAACGCTGATTCAACCATCCTACTGTGGTTTTGAAAGTGAAATGGTTGTAAGGAAAAAGTTGGTATGTGCATCTGGGCTTGGATTCCATAGAACTTTCCAAGTCCCCTAGACCTTCTATCCTCCTCTTTTCGGAGAACTTCTGCTTGCCAGTCATTATGCCAAGCATTTACAATATATTCTGTTGCTTTCTGCTTTAGGAAAGAATGGGATGTAAATTTGTCTTTTCTAAAAGCTGTCTTTTTCACTGCTCCTCTTGCAAGGGAGTCAAAAAGCTCATTTCCCTCAATCCCCATATGAGCTGGGCACCAAGTGATACTTAGGTTACAGTCTTTTGCTAGGGTTCGAATTTGGTGTGATAAATAATTTGTCTTCCCCTGTATTCTCTGAAGGCTTGGTTGGCTGTCACTGAAAATTTGGTATCTTGCATGTGGCAGCTTCTTCTTTAGGAACTGAACAGCTCTATAAATGCAGTAGGTTTCAGTGTCAGTGATTCCAATGGAGCTTCCAAGATTGAAGGAATAACTTTTTAACTCTCGGGCAAAAGGCATGTATATGACAAAACCAATGCTGCTCATATTAGTCTTTGAAAGTGACCCATCTGTGTAAGCAATTGCTATATCTTGGTCCATGGTCTACATGACTTTTAAATGTTGATCATAAGCTAAAGTCTAATTCATGGATGGGATGTTTATGACCAGTGTGTTGTGCTCAGCTAAGGTAGCCCTGGCAGGTAGCGCATGGAGGGTGAGTGTGTCATCAAGGTA